GCAGGAAACAGCAGCACTTCCTTGATGTTGTTGGAGTCTATGAGGAACATGGTGATGTGATCGGTGCCCATGCCCCAGCCCACCATGGGGGGCAGCCTGAACTCCAGGGCTATGCAGAAGTTCTCATTGATGAACATGGCCTTGTCATCACCGGCAGCCTTGGCCTTGACCTGTTCTTCAAAAAGCTGCCGCTGCCTCATGGGATCATTCAGCTCAGAGTAAGCATTGTACATCCCCTTCTTTATGATGAAGAGCTCAAAGCACTCAGTCAGACCCTCTTTAGAGTGATGACATTTAGCTGATCACCTCATGATCTGTAGGTGATCACAGATGAACATAGGACTGATTTACATCACTTCCAGGAAGTCTCTGACAAGCTTATCAAGGAATCTGGCTGTGGCCTGAGGTGGAGGGCATTCAACAGCATTTGCTACACAGATATCATCAAGAATTTTGTGAGTTTCTTCTGTTTTGATGAGGTTGGTTGCAGGCAGCTTTGTCCCTCGGGCTTTTTCCAGCTCTTCCACCATGCTTATTCTCTGGAAGGGTGGGGTGAGTCAATCGCACAGGCTTGAACTTCCAGACCAGCTGGGTGACAGGTGATCTTGTAGCTGCCTGAAATGCTCTTCATCATCTCTGAAACCAACTTCTCTGTGATTTCTATGAGATTATGACAGTCTGCGTAGGTCATGTAGAACTCACAGGTGGTGAACTCAGGATTGCAAGTCAATCAATTCCTTCATTCGGGAACTGATGTCTGATTTCATAAACCCGGTCAATGCCTCCAACCACCAGCGTCTTATGGTAGAGCTTTGGAGCAATTCTCATGTACAAGTTCATGTCCAGCTCATTGTGTTAAGTGGTGAAAGGTTTGGCCACCGCTCCCTCTGGGATGACATTCCTCATGGGAGTTTCAATCTCCAGGAATCCCAGCTCATCCAAGATACTTCTTATATATGTGATGATCTTAGAGTACATGATAAACTTTTGCTTCACAAAGTCATTCAGCATCAGGCCCAAGTATCTCTGTAGATACCATGTTTCCTTATCTTTGAGGCTGAAGTGCAGGTGAGGTAACATGCAGGCAGAGGGACAACAGTGTGATCTTGTTGGTGATGATGCTCAGCTCACCCTTCTTGGTTTTCCCAGGCTTCCCCTGAACTCCAATTATGTCTCCTCAATGCAGTTAGTTATTGATATGAATAAATTCTTCTTCTGATTTATAATTCCTGGAATTGGCCATGACTTGCAACTTGACTCCCTCTCCTTGGAGGTCATAGATGAGGTTCCCCCCAGAAGCTCTTTTAGAATGGATTCTACCTGCCACCTTCAAGGTGATGTCAGTCAGGTGGTCCCCAGGCTGTAAGTGACTGTATTCCTCAGGGAAGCGGGTGAGTGAGATGTTTATGTGGAACTTGTGTGGGTACGGATCCTTGACTCTGACCTTTAGCTGGTGCACTGCTTCACTGTGGATCTTATAGTATGGATTTGGGTTCAGGCTCTCTTTCTCAGCACCTACACCATTGTCAGTAGTGTGATGGATGGCAGCGGCAGTAGCTTGGCTTAGCTGTTTCTCACCAAGCTCTTTCCACTTGGCCTCCTCTGTAACTTTCTTCTTGGATTTCAGGCATCTTTTTAGGTCATTCTCGTGAAGTTTCAGCTCACCATCCACTTTCACTTTGGCCCCCTCCACCATTGCCATTTTTCCAATAACTTCATGAGAAAGGCACGTCTGAAACCTTCTATTCCTATCCTTTACTGTCTACATTCCCATCAGCATTCTGATAGGAATGGTTTAAGTTTCCTCCAAAATCGCCCACTGAGTTCTGCTTATGGAATTCTAGGTCTTCTCTAGTGCAGTGTTTCCTAACACCCCCCCCCCCTTGGAAGCCTGCTCCAGAGGATTCCGGACCTCATGGTCAGGCATAGTCATAGCAATGGCCCTTGTCCTCTGGTTCTAGTTTTCTGTATTAGCCACTTTTCTGCTGTTGGGACAACAATACCTGACACCCAAAACTCAAGGGGGGAGAGGTTTATTTTGACATATGTGTTCAAAAGTTTTAGTCTATGGTCAGCTGGCTCCAAACTTGAAATGATATGGTAGAAGGGCATGGTGGAGGAAAGTTACCCAATATATGGGTACTAGAAAGCAGAGAGAGTAGCGGGAGTAGCTGGGGAGAAGAACATGCCTTTACAGGGCTGGGAAATCGCTCAGCAGCATAAGTGCCTGCCTGGCAAGCACAAGATCCTAAATTCGATCCCCAGTACCAAAAAAAGGAATAACAAAGAAGAACATGCCCTTTTAGGGTACACACTGTCTGTTGCCCACCTCTTTCAACTAGTTCCTATCTCCTAACAGCACATTCAGCTGAAAGTTCATCAATGAATTAATACCCTGGTGAGTATAGCTCTCCTACAATCTAATCACCTTCCAAAGCCCTACCTGAGAATACATAATTTGGGTGAACAGTTTAGATCTGAACCAAAACAATACCTGTACATTATTTAGAAAAATGAAGATAAATGCCAGAAAAAAAAGCTAAAAGTTAGGGGCTGGGGAGATGGTTCAGTGGAATAAGTGCTTCCCTGGCAAGCGCAAGGACCTGAGCTCAATCCCCGGTTCTGGAAAAAAAAAAAAAAAAAAAAACCTAAAAGTTGGAAATGTTTTGTTCAGGGGAAAAACTTATGGAGTCAGGGGAAGAAGCAAGAAACATGTCTTTTCATTGCTTTTTACCATGGCTGATATTTTAATTATATATATAAACTCATTTAAGGAAATTTAACAATTATTAAAGGGTAAATAGGAACTGTGAGAGTAGAGAGAAAAAATGCTAAGTGTCCTTTGACAGCTTAGCTGAACATGAAAGGAGAAAGCACAGTAATTATATAGGTCTGTAGAGCTGAAGGAAAGTTTGCTAAAATGGAAGATACCAGATAATATTTATGTCCTGTGCAGATATAGCAGGTTAAATGCAACAGCTGAGAAACAAGAGATAAGCAATGAAATCCTGGAAGAGGAAGTAGAAAGAAAACTTTGTCTTTATTGGGGAAATTTAGAATCATTCATTCCTATTCACTGGGACACCTCTCTCTCTGTCTCTGTCTCTGTCTCTGTCTCTGTCTCTCTCTCTTTCTCTCTCCCTCCCTCCCTCCCTCCCTCCCTTCTTCTCTCCCTCCTTTCTTCCTTCTCCCTTTCAGCCTGGTATACAACTATGATGCTTCTGCCCTTCTTCTCCCTGTTCTTCCTCCTGCTCCTTCTCCTCTTTCTCCTTCCCTCCTTTACTGGGAAGGGAACCCAAGGCCTTCCACATGCATGCACGCTCTAACACTGACTTATACGCCCAGCACTCATGTGCTCTTCTAATCTGTAGCCCTGTGGTTTTCCCACTTGGGAAAGTTTCATTTGTTCCCAAGTATTGTGCATCAGTGAGAAAAGGTGAAATTCTCACTTTGAAGTCCTTAGACGTATTTTCATTTTAAAGAGAAGAAATGAAATGTCTTATTTAACTCACAGTGTGTAGCAAAGCTATTCTATTTTTTTTTCTTCAAGGCATTCAAGTAATAAGAGATATGGTAACCCCAGAGATCTGGTAACACCCTAATGAATACAACATACTTTCTAGAGAAAGCCAACTGCAGCCATAAACTACAACAGAAAGGCCGACAGAAACTGAACAATCCTACTTATGCAGAAATCCTAGACATGAGACTCACATTCTTAACACATGACAAACACTCTCACAGACATGGTCCATAGCAGAACATTTCTAGCACTAAACGTGTGAGAAGGCCACTGTCATTATAAGCTAAAATAGTCAACACAGTGCAATTTTTCTCAGGCATGGAAGACTGCAGTCTCTTCAGCAGCTCTGTAGATTGTGCCTTGCATGTCCATGGAAGGCATCCCACATGGGACTGTGGAAATGGCTTGCACTTTCCACTCAGATCCCCACCCTGGGGGCTTTCACCGGGTCTAAGCAGTAGCTACAGAGATCAACTATGTGAAACTTTTTTTATTTTACTGAACAGCATGTATTTGGACAGAAAAAGGATTCTAAACTTTTAATTCAATTCACTTCTACCAAAGCATATTAAACCAAATATATCAAGACCATTATAATCAAGTGGAAGGTGGAGTCTTTGCATTTAATCTTCTACCTCCTTTCCTCAATAAATGTCATTTACAATGTGTGGCTTACCTCAAAGCTACCCAAAATTACAAAGAAAAATTGCTGCCATTACTACTTTTCATCATTTTCAAAAAGAGCCTTTGGGTTGTGATGCAAACTTTTCCTCACAGTTGTCCTTTGTGGGGTGCTCTATGCCCAGGTCTTACTGTATAAACATCCTGTTGTGTGTACTTTTAAGCCTCTCAGAGCATCCTGAGTGAATGGTATGGATATCTAGGTGAGAATGATGTCAACATGGTGTGAGTAGGTAAAGGCAGAAACACCAGCAAGTGATGCTAAGTTTATGGCGAAAATCATTCAGGAACGGGTGATGGAGTCTAAGGGAACACAGAGTATAGTCCTCCAGACATCCTCATTTGCTCATGTTAGATACCAGGGTAGTAACACTAAAACATGAACATTCTTGAACAGGTTGGATGTCCAAATTTTGAAAGGTGAGAAATTTCATTAAAAATACAAGTCAAGGGGCTGGTGAGATGGCTCAGTGGTCTAAAGCACCTACTTAGAACAAACTTGGCAAAGCACGGGGACCACGGATCAATCCCCCAGCACCACATGCCAGCCAGCACCGCCCCCTGGTGGGCTGAGC